AGGCTACAGTGAGTGCCGTGGCATCAGCCTAGCTCACAGCAACCTCAAACTCCTGGGCTTACGCACTCCTCCTGCCTCAGCCTCCTGAGTAGCTGGGACTACAGGCATGCGCCACCATGCCTGGCTAATTTTTTCTATATATATTAGTTGGCCAATTAATTTCTTTCTATTTATAGTAGAGACAGGGTCTCGCTCTTGCTCAGGCTGGTTTTGAACTCCTGACCTTGAGCAATCCGCCCGCCTCGGCCTCCCAGAAATGTAAGTATTTTATAATAAGCATGGGTGCATAGTAAATTTTGGAATTCAATGTGATGATTGCCAGTAATTTGAAGTCTTAACTGTTATTAAATAGTACATGTAGCCCGAACTTTAATCATGTTGCATAGAAGGGAGTACTGTGTGGATTTTGGAAGTGAGAATTCAGTTCTCTCCAGTTCATAGCTATTCGTAGATACCCCATACCCAGTCCCCTGGAAGAACTAGTTCTCGAGTCCATTTATTGTCCTTAATTATGTCAGTGGTCAATATCAGTTTTCTAGTAAGACATCAAACAAAAGGTGAATGAAGACTCTTCTCTACATGTATTTATTGGAAAGCTTTTGAGGGAGCTATTGAAGGGCTTGTTGGGAAAGGCCTTAATGACTTTAAGACATATTCGTTTTAGGAAGTTCATATATTTTCGCATTGTCAATATGGTGACATATAGCATTACTTTCATTTTCAATCATGCTAGCTGGTGATGTTTGATGGTATGCTGTCTGGTTCTCAATACTGATCTATCTTTACTATGCACAAATATTCCATAATATTTTTCTAGTAAGTCAGAACATTTATAAGAATTAACTCCTAAAGTGACACCAGGTTCTGGCTAGAGCACGTCATAACTGTTTGGTTTTGACAGTAGAAATATATTGATACAGTATTGAGTTTTAATGGAGAAAAAAAGAAACTTTGGGTTTTTTTTTTAACAAAATGTCTTAAGATTTTTATGTTACAGAAACATGATTTGTGGTTAAATTGAGCAAAGTAAAGTAATTTTTATTGGATGCAGACTTGAACCCCAAGGATATTTTAAAGAGACAAGGAAAACAGTCGTGAGAAGATCTCTTTAACAGAACTTCTTTGTCCAATATCCATTTAGGAAGGCCAAATGTGTTATTTTGAGGGTTACATAAGAAAAATAGTAACTTCAACATCACCGAGGAAGATAAGTGTTGTGTAAGTGCTATAAATAATTTCTATTTCTCAAAGCACCATAGTTTTAGTTGTTCTTGAAAATAAGTTTGTTTCACCAAGAAATAAATTTCCAATGTCCTTGAAAGTTTTAAATTAAATTTTTGAATTTTGTCCAAACAGCAGCCTCCAGACTATAATTTTTGTGTTTTTATATTTAATAACAGTGAACTGGATGGGAGAGAATGGAATTACAATTCACCACCATTACCAAAGATCGACGACCCTCAATTTGTTTTGTGTAAAGCGATACCACTATTTACCAAATATTTCTATTAGATACTGAGTCTAAGGAGTCCTTAGTCAACATTCGATTGGTAAGATTTAAAAACAAAAACAAGAATTAAACCTGATTCCCAGGCAGAGAAATTGATCTCTACTAGAACGGCAGCACTGGGGGACATAAAAAAGAATTGAGGATCTGAAGCACTCCCTGCTTTCAATTTGTTGAGCACAGCAGTGTCTGGTTGGAAAAATGTCACCACAACACGTACACGCCTGGTGTGGTAATCCCTGCGGCATGCGAGATGTTTCTGTGGCGAAGTGCTGTGCTCAGCATTGCTGCAGCCCTGAGCAGCGGGTTGTATTTTATTTCAGAAGACTTGTTTCTCCAATGAACTATTTAATAGCTACTTTGGCTCCCAGGACTATAGCAATGTTACTTATTTGTGTTTGTATAGTATTTTAGAGCAGGCATCCTCCAAGTGTAGCTCTTGGACCAGAAACATCAACGTCACCAGGGAGCTTGTTAGAAATGCAAATTCCCAGGCCCCGTCCAAGACCTACTGAATCGGACACTCTAGGGGTGGGGCCCGGCCACCTGTGTTTTATCACACCCTGCAGGTGATTCTGAGGTTCACTAGTGTTTGGCAACCACGCCTTAGAGTTTTCAAAGTGCTTTTGTTTGGATACCAGGGAGGAGGCTGGTGGTTTTGGTTTTCAGAGGAAACTACAGCTTAGGGGAGTCAACTGATGTGTTCAGGCTCACTCAGAGCTAAGTGACAGAATTTGGACTTAAACCGTGTTCTTTTTGCTCCAAGTCTCAGCATTCCTTCCATCCCATGTTTGCCACCCGGGTCTGTTAAAGTAACCCAGACTGTGAGAGCTGGGGGTTGAGGAACAGAGCCAGGCGCTCGCCGCACAATTTCACGATGGGGAATGTTGTCTGGATTTGTAGAGTAACTGGCTCGAAGGGGCGAGATGGCATTGCCGCTCTTGGTGGGCGGGCAGGAAATACACATCTTCTCGTAGCTGTGGTTCTTGGCGAGTCCAGGCTACGAAGCCACATTCCTGGAGATGGTAAACTATGGACAGTAGCTTTCTAGTGATACGGCCACTGCACTGGCCGGGTCATCTGTTACCGCATCTGAGCTTTCTCATTGCAGTGATGCTGGGGTGGAAGGAGCAGTTCTGGCTTTGCACCGTACGTGTGAATGCACCTGAGCTGGGGCAATAGCGCGCACAGTGCCCAGTAGTTAAAATGAAGCAATTTAGTTGATGACAACATTTATTTGGAAAAACTGGTCACTATTTGCTTTCTGTGCTGATGCCACTTTGAAAACAATCCTGACAAACTCAAATTACAGCCAAGTTTCTCTGACTCTTTTTTCCTTTTGATTTTTTAAGGAAAGAAAACCTTAAACATTAAGGAGAAATGTAATAAAATCTCTTTGTTTATAAAACATCAATTGGTATAAATGTGCTTCCAAAAAAATCTTAATTATGCTTATGCACTATTCCTTCATTATTTTGCCTCCATGATATGTATCTTTTGAAATGTGAAATAATTCACTTTTATGTTGCAGTGACCTGGGAATCCGTGACTCTTGAACAGTCCACAGGACTGTCCTCACTTCTGACACCGGCCGCAGGGTTCAGGGTTACCAAGACCCTCTTTAGGTTTGCTAGTTCACTATAAGGACTCAGAACTCACTGGCAACTGTTTACTCACATTTACAGTTTATTATGGGAAAAGGATATAGATAAAAATAAGCCAAGGGAAGAGATGCATGAGATAGAATCATGGAAAGTTCCAGAAAAGGAGCTTCCAGTTGTCCTGTCCTCATGAGGTCCTGGACAGAGTTAATTTTCTGGCAGTGACGAGTGACAATACACACTGAGCACTGCCAGCCAGGGAAGCTCACCTGAGCTTTGTGTCTGCACTTTTTATGGGGCCCAATCATGTCGTTGACGGCCCGAGTGTCTGACCTTTGGTCTTGGCCTCTCTGGAGGTGCAGTGTATACCACACGGCCCAAAGCCCTCATCGTAAGTCACATTGTTAGAATGTCTGGTGTGGCCTAAAGCCCCCAGGTAAACAAAGACACCCTTCCCAGACATCACCTCCCAGGAGACAAGGGCAAAGGCCAGACCTCACTTTGGGTAAGGTTAATTCTTTTCTGTGTATTCTGAAATTTAACCAGCTTGAACAACTAAATATTTTTTTTTTTTGAGACAGAGTCTCACTTTGTTGCCCAGGCTAGAGTGAGTGCCGTGGCATCAGCCTAGCTCACAGCAACCTCAAACTCCTGGGCTCAAGCAATCCTTCTGCCTCAGCCTCCCAAGTAGCTGGGACTACAGGCATGCACCACCATGCTCGGCTAATTTTTTCTATATATATATATTAGTTGGCCAATTAATTTCTTTGTATTTATAGTAGAGACGGGGACTTGCTCTTGCTCAGGCTGGTTTCGAACTCCTGACCTCGAGCAATCTGCTCTCCTCGGCCTCCCAGAGTGCTAGGATTACAGGCCTGAGCCACCGCGCCCGGCCAACAACTGAATATCTTATCCATTTCTTTCCCTCACTCCTTGGCAAGGAGGGGAGTTGGTCCTGGTCACCCAGGGAGTGTCATAAAATGTGTGGTTTTGCCTCTTCTTAAATAGTTATCGCGTTTTGATGATGACTCTTATTCCACTGTCTTATCAGGGAGGGACTGATGGAGTGTGGCAGGCTGGCTTCAGCTTCCAAGCCCGTGTTCAAAGCTGAGGAAGCATCTGTCTCTCCTGCAGGAATCGGTGGCCCAACACGGTCATCCAGCCACACGGCTTCTATATACGACACTGGCTCTGCCCATCTGCGTCCCTGTCACCTCCACTCTTCCCCAAACATTGCACTCTCTCACCGCTGCTGCAGACGGTGCAAATGTTGGCTAGAAAATAATACATCAAAATATGTTGATTTTTGGCAAACTTGATAAACAACTGGATTTAGAATTATGAGTGCTGACTTATTTGAATGGGAAGTTATGGCTTTACCTTGTTCGCTCACTTATTTAGCCAGAGTTTATTCACCTTCCGTGACGTGCCAGGTTCCGGCATGCACACAAGCATGCATGCGATGCAGCTCCTCTTTCTAGTGGGGAATGTTGTAGAACTGCGTGTGACCTGTCCTCTCTGTTCTCTGCTCTCCACCCTGCTGGGTTCTGTTGGTCTTTTGGACGGGTCTGGAAGCGTTGGGAAGCTGGGTGTAGATACACGAAGACTTCCCAGAACATCTGCTCACCTCTCCAACTACCAGTAAGTGTCGCGCCCGCCTCGCCAGCAAGGAAGATGCGGCAACCGCGCTGTTCTTCTGACAGCGCTTTATTGGGGAATCTGAAGGTGACTAAAGCGGAAGACCCCGAGGAGCTCTCGGAGCGGGCTTATATAGGCACTAAGTACATTAGGCAGAATCTGATTGGCTCACGCTAGAGCCCTCATTAGCATACTTGCTGAGAGACAGGAAAAAGCCCCTACACATGCGCGGTTCACCCTGTTTATCAGTCTTGTGGTATGGGTGTGACCAGGAAGTCGGCGCCATCTTGCAATGGCGTTAACACCGCGCCCCACAAGTAAGAACTGCTGTTAGAAGTTTATGATATGAAGGAGGAAACAGACATAAATAAGCAATCACAACCTTCTAGGTGTGAAATACTAATAGAGGTACGTTCAAAATGTTACTAAATACATTAAAATGCTTGACTAATAGTGTCAGAGTAGAGAAGCAAGGTAGAGGAACATATTTCCTATTAATTGCTCCAGTAGATAGCAGATTTTCAGGAAAGCTAGTTTAAAAGAGAATTGAAAGGAAAAAAAGATACATTTGGTTACTTTTAAAACTTACCCTATTTTTTTTGTTGTTGTTGTTTTGTTTTATGAGCTGATGCTTGTCAGGCACATGGCATGGGTCAATTTCATGATTAAATTGATTGACGAGTTATTGGTAGAGACAGGTGTCCTAACCACGGACTGACATATAGTTTCAAAGCAGAATAAAATTAGGTAGCTTTGACAAAAGTGGGCATTTTAAAGATGCAATTGTTAATTATGTAACACCACACATGGGCATTTTACTATAAGCAAAGAAAAAAAAAAGCCTTTTACTTTTCATTAAAAAGAAATCTATATGGACGTAGCCTGGAGAGGATGAAAGTGTCGGTTTTTACATTTAAGGATTTGTGCTTTATGAGCCTTGATGTGTTAATGCTTCCTCTGGGGCTCTTCTGGATGAGCACATGGCACAGGTGGCCCACTGAATTTATAGACACAATAACTGAGCTGGAAAAAAAGAGGCCAGAGAATCTGTGGCACGTGGGATGCAGCTGGCTTGGCCACTTAAGAGCCGACATGAGTTTTATGTGACAGAGCTACTTATGGAAAGTCAGGAGACACTCTATTTCCTGGGACCCTGACCCTCTGCTATTTTCACTCTTCTCTTCCTTTGGCACAGACCACGGTAGGCTCTGAGGGCTGCCTTGTCAAACTTTGAAAGAGCCAATTAATTTATCATCATTTATCATGTTCTGGAACTCCACGAAATGAACATCTGTTCAATGCAACTTCTCTTTGTAACACTCTTAAAACTCTGGTGAGTTCAATGATTAAGGGGCTTGGAAACTTGAAAATATTAAAAAGTGCCTTTGTCTGAAGAAAGTTTGGAAAAGGCAGAGACCTAACGTTTGCAAATTAAAGCAGTTATTTTATCACCTAATTTACAGACACGATTTATATACGCTCCATATTTGTCAGGGTCAGAGGTGAGCTTCTTCGACTACAATTTCTCCAAGAATCTTGGGATGGTTATTTGCGAAACATTGTTGAGAATAAAAAGAAAAATGTTTTTAAAAAACACACATACCAACAATTTAAAACTTAAAAGACAGAGTTGGCAAATATTTCTACAGGTTCAAGGTGTTCCCCTGCCAGTTTAATCCAAGCTGGTGCCACTCTGGCATCACTATTTCAAATAAGGGATCTAGGTGCTGGAAAGATAGGAGAAGGGAGATGAAAACATAAGAGAAATGGAAAAAGTTAAAGAGTGAGACGTGAAGCAAGTGTAAATGAGATCTAGGGCATGATCCAGAGAAAAGTGGCAAAAATGTTGTTTTCCTTACCTTCATACATTATTTTTAGGCAAGATAAGATATTACTTTAGTTTTTGTTTTTCCTCTATTTTCTCCCAGCTTCAAATTTGTGGCCAGACTCTGTGCCCTCAGGGGAAGTTTGTTTAGAGAACAAAAAGTAGAAGTCATTTGCAAACCACCTGTAATTTTAGATTTTGTTTTCTAGAAGCTTGAGCACTTTGAGGAGAGAGAGACAGGAGCAAGGACATTCCCTGGGGCTGGGTGGTCCTGGAAGGTATGTGCCTCCCACTGGGAGGTGGAAAGTCCTTACAAGGGAAGAGGGAAAGGTTAGCCCTGGTTTCCAGCCTCAGCCAAGATTGCCTTGTGCTACCTGTGGCACAAGAGCAGCAGGTTGCCAGGGCCTGATGGGAGCTTACCCGAGGACATCTCTGTACCAACCTGTTCAGAGAGGGGTTCTGAGGAGCCTCCTGCTGGCCTGGCATTTCATGGTACTGGTGTTGCCTTTGTAAGACCCACGTGGAGTGAGCGAATTCCCCCAATAATAACTGAGAGAAAATTCCCTGCTTCCCAGTGGGATGGGGGCAAATAACCATCCCAAGATTCTTGGAGAAATTGTAGTCGAAGAAGCTCACCTCTGACCCTGACAAATATGGAGCGTATATAAGTCGTGTCTGTAAGTTAGGTGATAAAATAACTGCTTTAATTTGCAAACGTTAGGTCTCTGCCTTTTTCTAACTTTCTTCAGACAAAGGCGCTTTTTAACTGCAAACTAGGGTTTGCAGTTTCATGTTCTTTTCTCTCTGCTACTTATGCATTGTGGGCTTGAAGCCTCTGTTTTCAACAATTCCCAAGTCTGTCTTCTCCATTTCTGCTGTCTTATTTCTAATGGAGAAAAACATTCATAGATTTTTTTTTATCTATGCACACACTTTTAACCCCTTTTCCATAAAAGATTTAGATAACATAGGCAATTTGCTTAGGAATATTACCAATTCAATGATAAACTTTGTACATTGAACAATAAAACATAGCTGAAAAGTATAGTGGGCCAATTGATTTGACACAAAAGCTAAATTTAAATTTTTCCATTATTTAAGATAAAAAAAAATCTATTAAAGATTAAGGAGATACAAAATGCTGTGGGTTGGGTATTTGATATTTTCAGGAGTCAACATAAGGTAGCAGCTAATGAACTTGGGCTTTGAGGTCAGGCACACCTGTAATTCAGTCTCTCTCTTAACTGTACAATTTTGAACAAGTTACTTTATTTTTTCATGTTTCATAGGGTTGTTGTAAGGATTGTAAATGTGGATGAAGAGTTGAACAGTGGCTGGCATAGACCTGATGTTTAATGTTTAAAAATACTATTTACTTTGATTGCCACTAAGGAATCCTGCTTTCAAAAAATTTAGGATAAATGCAAGCACATAATTGTTATATTCATATTAAGTCATGATTCTGGGTTCATTTAAGTTAGACCCCTAAATATCCCTAATAGAACACATTTTGGTATAGTTAATCTGTGTACTCAGAGAAATAAACCTATACTTCTTCCTATTAATTGAATATTTCAGGTAATAGAGATTTACACAAATTGCACATTGATTAAATTGCACATTGATTGCATTTTCATTTAACCACATATTATGAACATCTTTCAATGACAGTACATATTTATCAAACTCATTCTTTTAAAGCTATATTCTTTCTTATTGCTTAAATAACTATTGTTATTATTTTTATTGCTTAAGTAACTATTGTTAACTAATCCTATATTACTGGACAATACAGTTGTTTTAATCCTGTAATAAAACTACTGGTATATATACCTCCTGTAATAAAACTACTGGTATATACTGGTATATCTCAATATGCCTACATACTTGTAGGCATATTGCATTAGAAACTATATTTTTATTTAAATTGTGTTAAGTATACAAATAAATGTAGGATAATTAGATCTGCACAGCTTTGAGATTTTTCATCTAAAATATTAAATTATTTTTTAACTTTAAGGAAGAACATTAAATCCGATGATATTCAATTTCATCTTTCTATTTTGGGTTCATCTTTATGCCTATCAAGATCAGTTTAAATTTTAAATTTTGTGTTGGCCATCTAGTGTGTAACCTCATCTGCTAAGTTTTGTGGCATTCAACATTTTTGGTGAGGATTCCTTTACATGTTCAACACAATACTTGCTAAAAATACTAGCAGAACAGAGCCAAGCACACAAGACCCTATGGTGTACTGAATTTAATGGCAGAGATTTGTGATTTATTTAAGAGATTTAAGTGACATCTAATTTTGTTTAACATAAAAGCTATATTCCTAACATGCAGTTTAATTTTTAAAAATTATTTAATATCATTCAGGAAGTCTTTGAGGATCTTAGATCTTTATTGTCTCCATATCTTCATTTTATTTACCATTCATATATGAAAGTATTGATTATTGAGGTTAATAATTGACAGAATGCCCAATAACCAGGGTTTACAATCTTTACATCATCAATGCATGAAATATCACTTTCTCCCCAACAAACAAGCTCTGTATTCCTCTGCTCTGTTTTCAAAATCTCACCCTTACTCCAAGTCTCAAATCAAATCTCTTCTATGTGCCCACTGCTACCCACCTGGTTTGTCCAATATTTGGCATATTTGTTGAGACAATGAAAGTCAACTCTGACTCCCTATTAGGGACCTTAAGTCTTGTCACCAAGAAGGAATAAGAAATAACTATGTTGCCCTCAAGTCTGAATGTGGTGTTCAGCGGGTGAGCCCTGAGTGGACGAGAGCTTGTCTTGTCCCCAAACATCTCCACGTGATTACTAGATTGTAGTCCAAGTACCAGCCTTGGACGGCAGGCTGATTTGGGCCCTGCCCTCACTGTTCCTTTTATTTCTGAGGAGTTGACCTCTATATGTAACGCCAGCCACGCTGGCTGTGGCATTGCCTCATTCTGTCTTCTACTGCTACACCAGGTCCAAGATTCTACTCGCCCACAGACAGATAATTACCCCTTTCCAGATCACATCACTACGACACCACCACTCTGAATCACATCATGGCGACCCCACCTTATAGAATGCAATGCACAGACTGTATCAGCTTGAGTTGGACCCCAGTTCACTGTCTCCCCCTTAGGCTGTTGGTTGGATTCTTGGTAATTCTGGTTGGGTCCGATTCTAAAGTAATTTCACTCTTCAGATTCCAAATATCCCAGTTCCAAATTCAGTTGGCCCTTGAACAACCTGAGTTTGAACTGTGTGGGTCCACTGTCATGTGGATTTTTTCCAACCAAACGCTGATGGCAAGTCCAGTACTGGCGAGATGCAAAGCCCGTGTGTAGGGAGAGCAGGTTCTGCGGGGCCCACTGCGGGACTTGAGCGTGTTTGGAGTTTGGTGTCCACTGGGGGCTTGAAACCAGTTCCCCCGGATCTAACAAGAGTCAACTGTATTTACTTTTTCCTGCCAGCCCACGCACAGTTCAGGTAGCTTTAGATATTTTACCTGAGACTATGAAGATTATGAAATTATTGCGTCTTCTATAACAAGTCTAACTTAAATTTTGTTTAAG